CATTGTCTCACTCCAGATGCAGGGCTGAAACGTTCACAGGCATTTGTAGAAGGTGTGTGTTCATTCCCCGGCTCAAGGCTGGGGGCTACACTGAGGCAAAGAGGAGCTGAAAGACAGCAGAAGGGTGCAGGTAACTGAAAGACACATGATGGCAAATCGTGAACCCAGGTGTCTTTGCTGAGGGGCTGCTCTTTCCTTTCAGCATTAGTGGGAGGAGGGGGAGAGCGGAAGTCAGAACAGGGGTGCATCTGGTCAACCTATGGCTGTTGAATGTTGACCACCTACTACGCCCCAAGCTCCTACATACTTTCTCATTTAAGCCTCGGGACAACCCCATGAAGTGGGTTCCACTAGATGAAAGAGACCCAGTAGTGAGGTGCCTTGCCCGGGCCAGGAAGATGGCAGCGATTTCAGCCTGGGTTTCCCGACCGCAGAGCAAGAGGGGGCCTCCCTCATGTGACCATGACGTCCTGCACGCTCTCACATTCAGTCAAAACGCGGTGTGTGGCGTGCGATATACACATACGTTCTCCATTTTACAGAGCAAATGGACTCAAAGGAAAGTATGACTTCAAATTCCTGAGTCCAATCGCTCGCCCGCATCAAAGTACGCTCGTTCTCCCTTTGTACACAGACATCACTTTAGACACTTTTAAATTTTAGATTTTAAAGCCCATAACACCCTTGGTCTTTTTAAATGAGACTTCCCTGCGGAATGCGGGGCAAGGACTGGATTTTTTTTGATGCACCTCTTGGCCCCGCTCCCTGGAACCTGGGAATTGGGGAACAACAAGAACTCCTGCGAAGTCAAACCGGCTCTCAAGTCCGCTTAGGCTCCCGCGGCCTCATCTACTGCGCAGGCGCCGCACCAGCCTCCACACTCCCTCCCGGCCCCTCGTGGGCGAACCCACCTCCAGGAGAGCAGGGGATACGGCGAATCCCCATTCCTCCCCAAGATGGTCCAAGCCAGCCTCTGGCCAATCAGAACGCTTCTTTTATCACAGCTTCTGGCTACAAGATGTTGGAGCTTCTTTTCCCTGAACTTTCTGACAGTGCCGGGGGGGGAGCGGGGATAAAAATGATTGACATCTCCTACAACCATTAGCCAAGCAGGATGAGCTTGAAGAGCAGATGCCACTACGAATTGACTCGCAGGAAAGGGCTGTTAGCCCCCGCCCCCTCCTTCCGGAGCACTTAGGGACAGCCAATGAGGGTCAGCGACGAGGCGGAGGGGGCGGGGCAGGCGGGCGGTGGTTGTCCGATCAAAGCGTCTAGCCCTGTGCTTGGGATCCCAGGGAAGCGGGATCACTCTTCCTAATCTCCACTGGCGGGAGCTGAGCCGAGAAGCTGGGCAGGGAAAGGGAGCCGCGTCGCCTCGCTGGCACCTTCCAGGCTGCCTTCTGAGGCCTTGAGCCGGACCCCATCTGGCGCTCCCCCGCCCCAACCCTAGCGCCTGATAGCCGCCCTCAGTCCAGCCCAGAGGGTCCAGGCCCCATCTGTTCCCTTCTCCACTGCGGCCTCGGGCTCCTCGAGGATCAGCCCACCCCACTCCCCTTCCCTGGCAGGCCCACCAACGCCTCTAGCTGCCGCTCGTCCCCGGTCTGGCCCGTGGAGGTAGTTGGTTACCATGGTGAAGCTGGCAGCCAAATGCATCTTGGCAGGTGAGTCTAAAATTTACAGTCTCCGGAGTCCAGAGACCTCATAAGTTACCAAGAGCTTTTGTTCACTTAGATTGTCTACCCTCTTTCTCTTTCTCTCTTCCATAGGCGAGTTAAAGCAATTGCTAACAGTAAATTCCATTAGGCGTGTTAGAATTCTCTTCCAGAGCACACTAGCTCCAGCCGACTCTCCCCACCACCACCCGCTTTCTGCCATACTCTGAGACCACGTTCACCAGTTTGAGCTGTACTCACTCAGGAGGCTAAGCACACCATAAGTACTTCAATTAAACCATGCGCTGTACCCCAAAGTTCGGCACCAATGACTTCCGCAGTTTTTACTTATGGGATTTTTTTTCCCCTGACCCCGCCCTCTTATAACAGAGATGGGAGACAGTAATGTACAGTTGACCAGAGTTTGTGTGTTGTCTTTGAGACCCAAACTTACTGTACTTTCCCACACTCAGGAGGACATAAATGTTGAACCCCCCCAAAGGCAGGAATCTTTGTTTTGTTGACTGATAAATCCCAAGCACCCCAAACAAGATCTGGAACCTAGTAGGTACTCAGTATTTGTAGAATGAATGAATATGTGGCATTCACATTTGCGGTGCTCTCTTTGTATCAGGCTGCACATTTAGAAAAACACTTGCCTGGATCATAGGCCTGGGACCACAGAACACAGATGTACTTCACTAAGTCCTTACTGCATGTCAGGCACACATATGTCATTTCATCCACTCGCCATGGTAGGTGAGCACACTGGGCTAGGTGCTGTATTGTTCTGATCTTACTGAGTGAGGCATGACAGGTGAATTCTCTTGCCCAAGGTCACCCCCTAGTGAAGGAAGGTCATAGCAGGATTTCAATCCCCAACTCTGCCCAACTCCAGAATTTTTTAACCTATGTTACTCTCGAAACCTGTGACCTTGCCAGGGTTTCCTGACCAGGTCAGGAAAGAAGCAGTGAGAAATTATAAAGAGGAAAAAGACTTTTTTTTTTTTAATTATTATTCATCTCTCTCAGACCGAAATAGATGATATTTTTAATGACTTTTCCAATTTGGAAATAAAAGGGTCACAGAGAAAGATGATTGACAACAGTAACTCAAATCATACCGAAGCAAAAGAAATTAATAGTTCTCAAGAGAGGTGTCTAGTTTCCAGAATGCCAGGGGAGGCAGCATTGTTTAACAAAAATAATTCTGGCTATTCCTGTCATTGGCTGTGTCATCTTGAACAAAGTACTTCTCTGAGCCTCAGTTTCCTCATGTATAAGGTGAGAACATTTTTTTATTTTCTGAAGTTAGAATTTTTTTTTAATGGACTTCTCTCCTACTGTACTTTTATTAATGTTTGAAATTCAGCTTCTGTCGTGGAGCTAAGTATACTGAGCACCTTCCAAGTGCCAGCACTGTGCTAGGCCCTCACCACAGGTCGCTGAATGCTCACGACGACTCTGTGGGGTCAGTATTATTGTCATTGTCATTTACAGGTGGGGCAGCTGAGCCTAGAGAGGTTAAGACACTTGGCCTGGGTCACGCAGCTGGATGTGGCAGAGCTGGGATGTAGACCCAGGTGATCCGATTCCCAGGGCTTCGTTCTTAGCCCCAAGCTCACTGTCCTCAAGCCTCTATCCTAGACTCCTCGCCCTTCTTTATACCCCCTCCCTCGGGTACCGTTTCACCTGATTTCACCTACTGCCTGGGTAAGTGACTCCTGAACTCCAACCTGGCCCTCAGTCTGCAGCCTCGAGAGTGTTTGCTCTTGGAAGTTTCCAGGGACCAGAGACCTCGGCACAGTGCATCAGTCCTCCCCACCCCCACCACCAAATTCTTATTCTCCACACCACCTGACCTCACACACACCCCGTCTCTGGTTTTATTTCTCCTTTTCCGTCACAGGCCTGCTGTTTAAATTGAGTTAATCTGACTTTTTTTCTGTGACGTAACTAGTCGTTGAAGGACCAGATGTTCCATTCAAGTACTTATTCATTCAACAGATATTTATTGAGCACCTACTATGTGTGAGTCGCCATGCAAGGTGCGGTGGGAAGGCAAGGATGAATCACGCCAGCCCCTGCACTCAAGGACGCACTGAGACGCGCACGAAAACTCACGATGCAGCAAATGCAAATCGAATTCCCTTTGTGTGTCAGATACCAGAGAAATATGTCAAAGGCACAGCTGCTCATTGTTCTGGCTCAGATCAGGAGAGAAAACAACACTTGACATTTTGCTAGATTTAATTGACTTAAAAATCACTTAACTATTCCTTAGTATATACATCAGGCACTGTACATATTAACTCATTAAATCCTCGTGATAATTCTATGAGATAGGTACTGTTATTATGCCCATTTTACAGATGGGGCAACTGAGGCCCAGAGAGATTACTAACCCTAGTTCACAGAGCTTGTAAGTGACGAAACTGGAGTCTATGATGTACTGCCTGTCAGTGTAAGTGGGGATGATAATAGTGCCTCACCGGAGGGTCGCTCTAGCAGCAGCGAGTCACATTAGCTTCACAAGTAAAGACAGAAGAGAGAGAGATGACCTTCAGAGTCTGTGCAAGGAAGGACAGTATTTGAGCTTGGCGTGGCAGAGAGTGGGCGGGATCTGGACTTGGGTTGGGAAGACCTGGAAGGAGGTTATCCTCGAGGGATTTTCAGAGATCGAGAGAACAGGCGTACAGATAACAAGTTCTAATGTGCACCCAAAACTTACGCAATGTTATTAATGTGACCTCAATAAAAAAGAAAAAAATGGATTTGTTATTGCAGTTACAGAGAGAGAGAATGGGAGTGTGGAGCCAAGATTTCGTGTAAGGGATCGTGGGGGAGCAAGTGGGAAGGTGGAGTAGGGGCTGACTGGGGAGAAGCGTTTGCAGCAGGAGGAATCCTTGATGGGCTTTGTGGGACCGCGTGACAGGAGGAAAGCGAGGCGTTACGAAGGTCCATCTGTCGTTGACGAGCTCAGGTGAGTTAGAGCAGGGAGAATACGGTAGAGAGAGAGGGCTAGTTAGGGAGCGGTTTCAGGCAAGCCCCGGTAAGAAAACAGAAAATACGTTAGGTGTTTCGGTAGGGAAATTTTAATGTGCGGAATTGGTTCAACAGGTGTTAGAGGCCTGAAAAAAGCTAGAAGAAAACATTGAGACAATACGGAACTGGTAGATAGAAGTGTGGTTGCCAGAAGCTTGAAGAAGAACCCCACAGAGCAGGATCCAGACCCTTGAGGAGGGGGTGCCGCCTGGCCCTGGGGGTAGCACAGGAATTCAGTCACCAGCGTGTGAGGCCACCCCATGCTACAGATCTCCAGGACCTATTACCCAGCATGGGGTAGGGAGCTCAGCCCCGTGTTCAGGGCAAGATAGGACCTGACCGATCGCAGACCATCGCCCCTCGCCCTGGGAAATCCCACGGGTCTGTATCTTGAGACCACCCCTGGCACCGAGAGCTGCAGCAGTCAGGGTCCGGGCAAAAAGCAGAAAATTTACTAGGTGTTTTCACAGTGAGGATTTAGTGTGGGATGTCCATTCAGCAGGCAGCAGAGGGCCGGAAAGACAAAAGGGGACGACAGCAGGGCAGCACAGAGAGTAACTGCAGGCAGGAGGCTCGACCCAGGGCTGGGGAACAGGGAAGAGGGTGGGACCTCGTCCTCGAGGCTCCGGAGGACCCTGGGGAGCCGAGAGGCAAATCTCTAAGAAGGAGGCACTGCCCACTGGCACTGGGCACTGGGGAGGGTGCGGGTGGTCATAAGGTCAGTCCGGGAGGGCAATAAAAGAAACCAAAACTGAAGACAGCACCTAACTGTGCTGCTGGGTGAAGGCCATTGCGAGGCTGCTGCTGAAGGAAACAACAAGCAAATGAGAAGGAGCAAGTCCCGTCTCCCCTCCCACCTTCCAGCCTTTATCGAGAACTCATATTGGAAGCCCGTGGCAGAGGAGATACGTGTTTGCATTGTCCCAGCCCCAGCAGCACAAAGCAGGGCCTGGACGGGCGGGTTAGGGGCTGCGACAGAAGCCCAGGCATGAGGTAACTGGAGCAGTGGCAGCAGTGACAGGCAAGGACATGTGGGCTGGAGAAACAGCAAAGGGTATCAGGAACGAAGAGGCGACCGATTGGACCGGGGAGGAAGGAGGAAGGTCAGAGGTGGCTGGGGAGGTCTGGAGACGGTGAGAATGAATGGTGACATGAACGGAACAAGTGAGATGGAGGCCAAGAGTGCTCAGGACCCCGCGGCATGACACGGGCCTGAGAGTGGATGAGGGCCTGTCGTTCCAGGAAAACACCCACAGGGTGTCAGAGATACAGATGAGGCTTGGGAAAGAGACCCTGGCCAGGAAGTGGCCGTCAAGGTAATGAGGGACAGAATAGATGGGAGCAGAGGGCCAAGGACAGACCCACAGGGGTGCCCATGTTTGGGAGGCAGGAGTAGGCAGAGCTGCAGGAGAACCAGGCCAGGGCAGGGTCAGCAGGGCAAGAGGGGTCAGGGAGGGGCGGACTGCTTCCGGCTGACTCATCCTTCAGAGGCATCAGGAGCATGAGGACTGAGAAAAGACCATTGGACCTGGCGATTCTGAGGTCAGCGGTGACCTTGCATCATGCCTTTGCAGACGTCACCCTTTCTGTCAGGCGGTGCCCCTCCCTGTCGTCACCCCCAGGCTCAGCCTCAGCCCCGGGAAGTCTGCCCACGGAGGAAGCCACTCATTCATTCCTTCCTCCACGCGCCCTCAGACGCTGGGCTCCTCAGCTTGTGCTGTTTGAATTTGCACTTGTCATCTTGTCGCCGTGCACATGTGTTTACCAGCTCTTTCCCCTCCCCGTGCCTCGGTCCCTCTTCAGCTGACACAGGAGGTTTTTCCATAAGTGTGGGTGACTCTGACTGGCAGTCGGAAGAGAGATTTATGAAATTAACCAGAACACATCTGTGGGGAATTTCACAGGCGGGAAGAGCCAATCTCCAACTGGATTCAGAAGCCAAATTGGAGTCGGGAGGGTGGATGCAATTACAATGCAAGAAGTAGAGCCATGTGCTCTCTTTGCTCTGAGATGGCTGGGTACCCGGAGACGGCCAAGCCTCTGGTTGCTCCCGATGTCATGGAAGGCCGCAGTGATGAGGGCCTGTAGGGCATTGTTAAAAATGGGTCACAGGGGTCCCTGAGCTGTAGGAGAGGAGCGGGGGTCTGGTGGAGAGAATGTGAGGTGGGAATCCTCGGGAGATTACCCAGCATCTCTGAGCTTCGGTCCCTTCATCTGTCAAATGAAGTTAATGATAGTCCCCGTGGGGGGTAGGGGGTTGGGGCGGGCAGGGAGTGAATGACATCGTATGGATGGGTTCTGGAGAGAGGCTCCACACATGTTGGTTCCCTTGTAAGAAGTGGTGGTGAACAGAAAAACAAGACCCGAATAGCTCATTCGAACCTGGAGGAACTAACATGAAATGAAATGTCGCGAGTAGTGAAAACATTGTCTCGCAAGAGACGATCATAGGTGGCAAAAGTCAAAACTGAAAAGTGAGCAGAGCAGCAGGTTATCGAGAAGTCAAGGGAAGAGAAGTGTCGAAACTGACTGAAGTGGGGAGCAAAGGGGAAGAGGCTGCACCGAAGGATGCGGGTCGGGGATGCGGGTGCCGTGGTGATTTTGCTAAGGATCGAGGGGATGAGAAAGCAGAAGACAGGTGTTCTGGCCGGGGCTTCGGTGATGGAGAATCAGAGTAAGACCTTCCAGACAGAGAAGATCTCGCACATGAAAACGGCCTGGTATTAGAGGAGGCCAAGCAGAGCCATTAGTGGGGAGGGCACAGGGCAGTCGAGCCGCCAGCACCTTGGGGGCATGAGGGAGCTCCAGGTTAAAGTCCCCCAACAGTCTCGTGAAAGGGGCAGATCTCAGACTGAAACTGTGACGTAAACCTTTGGTCTCGAGGTACCAACTTATGGGGCTATCTGCTAACGAAGGGCAGGCGAAGAGTTAAACCCAGCAGGCGTGACATGACACGGCTTAGAGAAAACAGTTGTGTGGCTGGTGAACGTGGCCCCTGGGGAGATGGATCCACAGTGGTCACCAGTGGGCACACCGAGGCGCAGGGGCAGTATATCACTGGGGAGTGGGTTTCAGGATGGCGAGTGCAGCATCTGACTGTTTCCCATGAATGCAGAAACCCTCCCAACTGCCACTCACACCACCCCCCCACCCCCCCAAAAATAAGGTATTTGAATCCTAAGCATGGAAGCTGTAAACTCAGACTGGTTCCACCAGTCACCTGAGCCTGTCAGTCTGTGCCCGGTCACACCTTTTACCTTCAAGACTTCAAAGTAAATTCCAGTTTGAAAGTGACAGGTTTTCCCATCGGGCATGTTTCGGTGGAAGAGAATCAGTTCCGTTTCCAGGGCTCCGAAGCCTGCCTTAAGCTGCTACCTTCTGGGTCAGCTCTTTCGGATGAAAGGGTTAGCCTTGAGGAAGTGTGACTCTGGCTGTCGTGGGTCTTGAAGCTTGGTCTCACGAACCCATTGCCCTGCCAGCGACCTCAGAGCAAGTGCCCCTGAGAACAAGTATGCTCTCTCTGAAAACTCAGTGAAGCGTCTGGTTTCTGGCCGAGCGTTCTGGAGTGGGAGCGTCTCGGGCCAGTATCGGGCGGAGATGATGCTTCTCTCCTACTCTGGCCTCCCAGGAGACCCAGCAGTGGGCAAGACCGCCCTGGCACAGATCTTCCGCAGCGACGGAGCCCACTTCCAGAAGAACTACACTCTGGTGAGACGTGGGGGTTGTAAGCCTGGCCGGGTCAGATGACCCTGAGGGGGTGACTTTCCACAAGCCACAGGGCCTGGGGCTGTCTGCAGAGCAGACTGGCCAGTAGTCGGCTTGGTCACCACCACGTACAGCTGACCCATGGGCAGGGAGTTGGATGAGACCAGTGGGTCTTCTCTGACTCCCACTCCAAAAGCGAGTCTCGAATGCAAACACTTCAGCTGGGGCTGTGCCTCCCAGGCTTTGGGTGCTGATCACTGGGTGCTGGACCTGTCCTCCTGTAACGCGCCCCTTGGGGCCCTCTGACGCGCGTGTTCTCGGTTTTCCTCGACAGACAGCAGGGGTGGATTTGGTGGTGAAGACGGTGCCAGTCCCTGACACGGGGGACAGTGTGGTAAGTGGCGCCCTTGACCCGAGGGAGCCCAGTGCTCCATCAGTGGGGCCCAGGGTCTCCGTGGTCACCGTCGCCCTCCCTTCGAGAGATGCGGTGCCAGGACTTGGCCTAGACGTGGCATGTGGGAACAGAACCGTGGAAGATGGGAAGTGGTCTAGGAAGGGGTGAAGGAGGGGGAGTGAGGAAGCCTGGCACGTGGGCCCGCAGAACTCGGCCGTCGAGCTTCTTAACCCGGGGATGGGCATCCATGACTCAGAACTGAATTGCAAGATGTTACGTTTGCGTGTACTTTCCTGGGGAGTAGGTTCAAGAATCGCCAGATTCTTAAGGCAGTCCACGAGCCAAAAGCAACTTTAAGCACCTCTGATGCAGTGAGGGGATCAGAACGAACAAACAGATAACCAGTGTGCATCGCAGGCGATGCACTGGCATCCGGTGTGCTCCAGCGGTCAGAGGCCAGCCCGGGGCTAGCCAGTGCCCGAGGGAGCTTCGGCGGGAAATTAGGGGAGACTTCCCGGGGCGAGGGATTCGGGGAGAGGCTCTCGCATGGGCTGGCTGTGGTTGGGACGGGGGCCATCCCGCACCCTCCATCAGAATCACACTTAGCCATCCAGAACGACGACAGACTGTCCCACTTTACACGTGAGCCTTCCCAGATCTACTCGATGACCTCCTTTAAAAAGAACCATTTTAAGATTTGAAAATCAATTTGGTTAACAAAGTGCAGAATGACCTTTTGGAATCCGGAGCGCTTGTCAGCCTGTTTAGCATTCTGTTCCGCCAGGTGGGAAGGCAGCTTGTTCCTGGTATTTTTGCACTTGAGGTTAGGAGCGGTGAGACAGCGCGCAGAAAGGGCAGGTTGCACGGCCTCGTGGGATTCCTGAGGTCGGTCCTCTTCCCGTCATCTTCCTCGTGCCTGGGGGAAAGGTGGGGCGTACGTGAACGTGTGTGCGCACACGCGTGTGCGTGCGTCTCACCATTAAGTCCGGTCTTCGGCGAGTGGCCAGCAGCCCCGGTGACCTGCAGCCGGTGCTTTCCCCGGGGTGCGGGGGGGGCTTTACTGGGACACGTCTTTCTGATTCTAGGAACTCTTCATTTTTGACTCTGCCGGCAAGGAGCTGTTTTCCGAAATGCTGGATAAATTGGCAAGTAACCTGTGGTCTTTTTCTTAACTGCCATCACCACCTTCTGCCAAAAGGTCTGCCCCTCAGAACGGTCTCACAGAAATTTCACTGCACCACGTACCTACTGTGTGCATGGCCTGGCACACAGGGTGTCGCCCTGCTCGGCAGAAGGGAAGGTGTGCTTGAGCAGGTCAGGGCCACCATCAGCGTCCACCCCGACTCCAGGCTCCCCTCCCCGCCCCCAGCTCGATCCTAGATTGTCCTGGGTCCCTCACCAAGGCCTAGAGAAAGGAGGTGTCTCATGCATGCACTTAGGGGATGTCAGTGTGGTTCTAACTGGCGTTCTTGAGTCTGTGGAGTGAATCAGTTCAGTCCATACCCTTCCCATCCTGGATGCTTTGGGAACCAGCATAGCCATGGTTTGAGGGTCAGTCCAAATCCTGAGTGATTTGGACTGACCCTCCAAGGACAACTGGAGGCAAAAGGATTCTCCCTCATACCCTGAGAGGTTATGACACCCCAGAACTAAACCAAGCTCTCACTGTCCAGGATGGGGGTCTCAAGACCAGGGCATGGCCAAGAGTCACAGGCACCAGGACGAGCATCACAGCCTGAGCAGGGCCACCCTTCGGCCCCATGCCCGGCAGCAGGACGTCCCAGGACTCTGAGCTGCCCCTGAAAGTGACAGCCCCTGGGAGTGGAGCCCTGGCCCTTAATTGAGACAGCTATCCCTTTCCAGTTGTCAGTGCGGTTTCGATTAGGACTGATACACCGCAGGAGAGGCAGAAAGAGCCCTTTGCATTTTGAAAAGCCAGCCCTTATTAGGAGATGCAGGCAAACAAGCATCCTGTCCTAGCTGATGAAAGAAAGGATGCTCTTTTCGGCCTGCAAAGCAGAAAGGCATCCCAACTTGCATAATAGTGAGCCCTCAATAAGAATAAGTGCAAGACGGAACCCGTGAGGCCAGTGGCAGGCAAAGGCATTTCTGGGGAGAGAAAAACCACAGTCCTGCCCCTGTGTTGAAAGCATATCAGCCTGGGCAAGTCGGTCACCCTACACTCTCCAGTGACACAGCAGCGATGCTGAGACCAGCCCTGCAAAGCTGGGGGTTTCACGATGGTGCACAAAGCCCCCGCGGGAGCCCGAAATGGATGTGAGCTCTCGTCCTCACCTTCCCCGTTGCTGGGCCCAGCCCCCCATTCGTTCCTTTGGGTGAACTTCTGTGGGTGTGGCCGTTCTCCGATTCACATCCCTTTACGGGTTTTCATTTCCCTCCACCCAGACGTCCCTTCCCTTGGAACGCCCAGTTTTCTCCCAGCCCAGAAGTCACTTTCACTGTTTCCGATGTGTGTTCATCCTGTCTCCCTCTTGCACAGTGGGAGAGTCCCAACGTCTTGTGTCTCGTCTACGACGTGACCAACGAGCAGTCCTTCAGCAACTGCAGCAAGTGGCTGGAGAAGGCTCGGTCGCAGACTCCAGGCACCTCCCTCCCAGGTAGGGGCTGCGGGCATCCCGGGTGTGCCAGCGGCATCTCTGTCCATCAAGTTCAAGAGCACAAGGTCATCACAGAGCTACTGTGGGTGCAGAAAAAGGGTGCCCTGGACTTGGGGTATGGTGGTCTGGCTTGTACACAGAAACCTCAGTGAGTTAGCACACACCTCTGAGTCCACAAAATGGGCATGATGACATCCACCTAGCAGGGCTGTGGGGGAGACTCAGGTAACAAGGAGGAAGGCGCCGTAACAGGAATGTGAGTTATTTTCAGAAAGCTAACCTCAGGGAAGAATTCCTCATTTTCTCCTGTATGTGGGGCGCAAGTAAACATGCAAGTCCTTTTGTCACTTCTGAATGCTTTAAATCAGTTTATTTTTCTTCCCTGTGTGAGATCAACAAATTCTCCTCATTATAGACCAGGAAAAACAATCTCCAGAGACAGGCTCAAAAATTAGCTGCAGCTGATGCAGCTGGGGACAGAACTAAATTGCCTCTGAATCCCTGACTCTGAGCCCAGTCCTTAGATTAATATTAATGACCATTTTAAAAGTTTGCTCCATGAGCTAGGAATCATCGCAAATGCTCGCATAAATTTGGCCTTTGCCTTCACGTCACTTGCAGCCTTAAGGAGACAAGGCAGACAGGTAGACATGACGTCTAGAAAAAGGGCAGAGCAAAAAAGCTCTGTGGACAGCAAAGCCCGCCTGCGTTTGCTGCGGCCCTCGGGGCCCACACCCAGTCTCCCTCTCAAGTTCTCTTCCTCGACCCCAGCAGCCCCTCTCGGATGCTGCTGTTTTACGCCCCGAAAATCAGTCCGCTTGCTCTTTTCTCTCTCTAGCCGTCCTCCCAAACTGCCGGTTAAATGCAATGCTTTGGTCGTTTCTCTTGGGTAGGTGTGTTAGTGGGGAACAAGACCGACCTGACCGGCAGACGCGTGGTGGAGACGGCTCAGGCCCAGGCGTGGGCGCTGGGCCAAGGCCTGGAATGTTTTGAAACATCTGTGGTAAGTATCTCCGCTTGCTCCGTAGCCACGTCTGGGGTGGGCCTGTGCCGGGAGCGGCTCTTCACGTGACCTCGCGTGCATCGAGTTGTTCTCCCACCATACGCAGAGTTGGATTTGGAACTGATGTTTACGTTCTTAGCCCAGGATCTTTTCTCAGTCACAGCATCACTCCTGTATCTCAGGAAAGCGGATCAGCCAGCCGGCCCCAGGGAAAGCTGTATCTCGGTTGGTGAGAAATACAGTGTATTGTGTTCAGTGACAGTGACTCTTGAGATTCGCATAAGATGTTCTGGGTTAGGTGTTGTTGAAACATTACTTCCTAGACCCTCACGATCAGTTTCATGAACCAGGAGCCGGCCCCACAGGGCCACTTCCATGTGGAGATGAAGTGACTTGCCCGAGGTTACATGGCTGGTAGAGGGTTGAGCCAGGACTAGGATTCATAGGACTAGGATTCCTATCAGTGCTCCCTGTCCTCCCCCACCTCGCTGCAGCTGCGGGCCGACTCCAGGCCACCGATCGTCCTCCCGTAGAGTCAGCGGGAGCCCTCATAAAGGGGGACAGCGTGCTTTGTTACCAGCATCCTCAGTGCACACACGTCATGATTTTGGCTGTCCAGTGCCAGTGACCCCCCTTCCCACGTTAGGAGAGGTCCCAGCCTTCCTGCAGCCAAGGTGCCAACGTGTGACCCAGGCTGCACCAGACACACTCACACTCGTGTGATACTTCAGTGCAGAGGGGAGTGAAGACCCCCGGAGGGGCAGCTCAGAGACCTCCGTTTCAGAGGCGGCCGGGGCCAGGGGCCAGTATTGTGGGGGAGACACAGCAGGTCCGGCACAGCCCAAAACATCCATGCTGTAACCTGGACCTCACTCTTGGCCTTATGGCCTCCAGGCCTGATTCTCTGACCTTCCAAAAGAGTCAGTGGGCTGATGAATAAAGAGCCTGGAGGTCATTCTACTCCAGGTTTACTTAAGCTACAGGCACTTCTGTGGATGCATCTGTGAACACTGACTGACAGGTGCTGCTCTTCAGCCGCTGTGCGGATGTGAACCTTGGACATCTCCCCAGTGAGCATGCTTCTTCAGGAGATTGTGCGTGTAGAGAAGAGGCGGGTGCTCGGTCCTCCTGCGTGATGGCAGAGCTGCCTGTGGGACCCCCAGCATGTTACCGAACCTGTTGCTGCCTCAGGCCCCTCGCCTGTAAAGTGGGGATAATAAAACATATCCCCATTAAGTAATAGATACGAGAATTAAGTCAGATGATAAATACAAAAACACTTATCTCAAAGTCTGGGGCATAGTACACAATAAATGTTAGCTCTTTTTCAGTTTAAATCTTTCCCCCTAGTAATCTTATTTATACTATTATTACTTACTAAATCCTTGTGCTCATAGATTGTACAAAGATAAATGTCACTCTTGCCTCTGGCCCAATTATCACAAATGCTAAATTAACGAAGTTCAAATAAGTGAGGTTTTACTGTATAGAGGGTTTCTCCTCTTTTATACAGCATGCCTTTAAGAGCAAAGCAGCAAGCCACGCTACCCACAGCGAACAATATTTTAGTATTCCCCTTCCAGCGTTCACATCGTGAAATTGCCTCCTCACCCCAATAGCGCATATTCCCCGGAACTCTTGATGAAACTCAAAAATTGATACTCACCCCAACACATTCATCATCAAAGGCCGCTGGGGCTGCGTGTTTAAACTCTGTTCAGGTGTTTGTAGCTACGCTGTTGAAACAGGTGGGTATAAATTGTGCTTGCGGAGTCTGTAGTTAAGCACTTGGTATTAACTGTGCAAGTTAACTAGTCCCCCCTGAGTTGATGCTAACAGAAGCACTACTGGCAGCTCGGTGAAGAAAGCTGTAATTAAAAAGGAAATATAACCAATGCTATTTGAGACACAGCCAAGTCCTGACGCCAAGCTCACCTCCTCCTCTCTTCTGACTAAATGTATCAACGGTCGCGTTGCAGACCTAAAAAGTTGGTACCTACGTGGTTGCCTGGCTTTCTTTTTTTTATTTTTAATTCCATCCCTAGGACTTACTCATCTTAAAACTGAAAGCGTGTACCCTTTGACCACCTTCTCCCGTTTGCCCATCCTCCATCCTGCTGCCCCTGGCAACCACCAGTCTGCTCTCTGTTTCTGTGGGTTCGGCTTTCTTAGATTCCACACGTAAGTGGGAATCATACAGTATTTGTCTCTCTCTCTCTCTCTCTCTCTCTCTTTCTCCCTCCCTCTCTCTGACTTATTTCACTTAGCATAATGCCCTCAAGGTTCATCCATGTTGCCACAAACATCAGGATGTCTTTTTTATGGCTGGATAATGTTTCATTATGCCTACATATACCGCATTTTATTTATCCGTTCGTCTATTGATGGACAGTCAGGTTGTTTCCGTGTCTTAACTATTGTAAATAATGCCACAGTAAACATGGGGGTGCAGATACCTCTTCAAAATATGGATCTCATTTTCTTAGAAGTGGAATTGCTGGATCCCATGGTAGTTCTATTTTTAATTTTTTAAGGAACGTCCATCCTCTTTTCCAGAGCGGCTGCAATAATGTCTCTTCCCATCGATAGCGCACGACATTCTCGCCAGCACTTGTTTCCCTCGCCTCTTTGACGACAGCCATTCTGACAGGTGCGAGGCGCTAGCTCTGTGGTTGTGAGTGGCATTTCCCTGATGATTAGTGGTGTTGAGCACTTTTTCATATACCTGTCGGCCATTTGAATATTTTCTTTGAAAAAAATGTCTACTCGGGTCCTTTGCCCATTTTGGTCAGGTTATTTGTGTTTTTGCTATTGAATGGTATGAGTTATATATTTTGGTTTTTTTAATGAATTTTTTTATTTTAGAAGTTTCAGATTTATAGAAAATATGAGCAGAAAATAGAGTCTCTATTTAATCCTCCCTTGACATCTCCCCACTCCTATTTCCTCTATTAGCATCTTACATTAGTATGATATACTTGGCACAATTTTTTTTAATTTTTTTAAATTTATTTTTTTTTAACTGAAGAAATGATTTAAAATTTTTTCCTCCATCTACTTCCCCCCTCCTCCCCCACTCCCTACCCTCTGGTAACCACTAGTCTATTGTTCCTGTCCATGAGTCTCTGTTTGCTTTTCCTGTTCATCTGTTGCTTTTAGGTTTATATCCCACATATAAGTGATATCATGTGATTTTCATCTTTTTCTGTCTGGCTTAATTCGCTTAGTATGATTATTTCAAGGTCCATCTATGTTGTCGCAAATGGCTGTATTTCATCTCTTCTGATGGCTGAGTAATATTCCATTGTATATATGTACCACGGCTTCTTTAGCCAGTCATCTATCATAGGACACTTCGGTTGCTTCCATGTCCTGGCCACTGTGAATAATGCTGCTATGAACATCGGTGTGCAAATATCTTTTCAGATAAGAGTTTTCAAGTCTTTGGGGTAAATACCCAGTAGAGGGATTGCTGAATCATATGATAGAACAATTCTTAGTTTTTTGAGGAACCTCCATACTGTTTTCCATAGTGGCTGTACCAATTTGCAGTCCCACCAGCAGTGTATGAGGGTTCCTTTTTCTCCGCATCCTCTCCAGCATTTATTACTTGTCCTGTTGATTATAGCTATTCTAACAGGTGTGAGATGGTATCTCATTGTGATTTTGATTTGTATTTCCCTAATAGCTAGTGATGTTGAGCATCTTTTCATATATTGGCCATTTGTATGTCGTCTAGAGAGAAGTGTCTGTTCAGGGCCTCTGCCCATTTTTTGATGGGATCATTTGGTTTTTTTGTTATTGAGTCGTATGAGTTCTTGGTATATTTTGGATATTAGGCCTTTATCGGAGGTGTTGCTTGCAAATATATTTTCCCACTCGGATGGTTGTCTCTTTACCTTGTTGGTAGTTTCTTTCATTGAGCAGAAGCTTTTTAGTTTGATGTAGTCCCTTTTCATTTATTTTTGCTTTTACTTCCCTTGCCTTTGAGGTCAATTTCATAAAATCCTCTTTAAATCCATGGTCCTTGAGTTTAGTTCCTATGTTTTCTTCTATGCATTTTATTGTTTCAGGTCTTATATTCGGGTCTTTAATCCATTGTGAGTTAATTTTGGTGTGTGGTGAAAGACAACAGTCTAGTTTCATTCTTTTGCAGGTGGCTTTCCAGTTTTCCCAGCACCATTTATTGAAGGGGCTTTCCTTTCTCCACTGAAAGTTTTTGTCTTTTTTGTCGAAAACTATTTGCCAATAAAAATATGGGTTTACTTCTGGACTCTCGATTCTGTTCCACTGGTCCGTGTGTCTGTTTTGCTGCCAATACCATGCCGTTTTGATTACTGTCGCTTTGCAATATAATTTGAAGTCGAGCAGAGTGATGCCTCCAGCCTCATTCTTTTTTCTCAGGATGGCTTTGGCAATTTGGGGTCCTTTGTACTTCCATACAAATCTGATGATTTTTTTTTGTTCCATTTCTTTAAAAAATGCCAATGGGATGTTGATGGGGATTGCATTAAATCTGTATAATGCTTTAGGTAATAAGATCATTTCAACTATGTCGATTCTTCCAATCCAAGAACACAAAATATCTTTCCATTTCTTTGTATCTTTTTCGATTTCTTTTAACAGGGTCTTGTGGTTTGCATTATATAGGTCCTTCACATGTTTCGTTAGATTTATACCTAGGTATTTTATTCTTTTTGTTGCAATTGCAAAAAATTATTTTTTCCACTTTGTTTTCTGACACTTCGTTATTAGAGTATAGGAACACTATGGATTTTTGAACATTGATTTTGTATCCAGAAACTTTAATATATTCACTTATTGTTTCTAGTAGTGTTCCTGTGGACTCTTTAGGGTTTTCTACGTAGAAAATCATGGCATCCGCAAATAGTGACAGTTCGACTTCTTCGTTTCCTATTTGGATGCCTTTTATGTCTTTCTCTTGCCTGATTGCACTCGCTAGGACCTGCAATGTTATACTGAATAGCAGTGGCGATGATGGACAGCCTTGCCTTGTTCCTGATCTTAGAGGGAAGGTTTCTAGTCTTTCACCTTTATAATGTTGGCTGAGGGCTTGTCGTATATGGCCTTTATTATGTTAAGGTATTTTCCTTCTATATAGATTTTATTAAGTGTTTTGATCATCAGTGGATGCTGTATCTTGTCGAAGGCTTTTTCTGCATCTATTGATATGATCATATGATTCTTATTTTTTAATTTGTTTATGCGGTATATCACATTAATCGATTTGCGTATGCTGAACACATTTTGGATATTAACCCCTCATCAAATGTGTGGTTTGCAAATATTTTCTTCCATTCCACAGGTCGCCTTTCTATTTTGTTTGGCATCTTTTTAGTTTGATATAATCCTACTTGTTGATTTTTGCTTTTACTGCTTGTGTTTTTGGTGTCTAATCCATAAAATCATTGCCAAAATCAATATCAAGGAGCTTTTGCCCAGTATTTTCTTCTAGGAGTTTTACGGTTTCAGGTCTTAAGTTCAAGTCTTTAATCTATTTTGAGTTAATTTTTGTGAATGGTGTAAAATATTCTTTTGCATGTAAATATCCTGCTTTCCCAACATCATTTATTGAAGAGACTGTCTTCTCCACTGAGTATTTGTTGTTCTCTTGTCAAGTGTTAGTTGATCATGTATTTGGGAATTTAGTTCTGGGCTGTCAAGTTCTGTTCCATTGATCTTTGTGTCTGTTTTTTATGCCAGTACCATACTGTTTTGATTACTGTAGCTTTGTAATATGGTTTGAAATCAGAAAGTGTGATACCTCTACGTTTGTTCTTCTTTTTCAGGATTGCTTTGGCTATTCAAGGTATTTGGTGGTTCTTCTTTAACTTTATAACACCCCTCATTATGACATTTTCAGGACAAAAAAAAATTAAAAAGAATGTCTTTAAACAGAAGTTAAACGTTTTTAAAACATTGCTCATCACTGTAAGAAGTCAGACAATATTAAATACAAGTAAGTTCAAGAACGTTCAAGTTCATTGCCCTTGCAGGCAATGAAGAGAAGGGAACTGATGTCTGTGGAGCACCTAGTGCATGCTAAGTGTTTTGCACATATTATCAATTGAATCTTTTAACAGCCTTCCCAGGCAGCCGCTCCTGTCCCCATTTACAGATGGTGAACAGACCCAGAAATGTTGTGTGGCTCTCTCTGGTGACCCAGCTAATTAACGAGCAGTAGAACTAGGACTAGAATATGGGCCTGTCTAGCTTGAGAGCCTGGCCCTTCTAGAATGGACTTTGGCCTCCCACACAGCCTACTTTGGGACTTTGAGAGACAGACTTCTAGGCTAGATTAAGTGCTAGTCTGAGC